TTTTGGTACAGCCTATTCGTGTTGTCAATGGACTTTAGGTCGCAGCGTGAGAGTACACCGAGGTCGCGCACGAAAGGAGCGGGATGCAACGGTTGTCCAGCCACTGTGTACGTTCGGCCGTGATCACACTTACCCAACCTCATGAATTGCGACTTGGCAGGGTTGATCGGAAGGTTAACCTCTGCAGACCATGTTGCGAGGCGGTCGAGATCCTGCTGAAGTAAATCGCAATCATTGAGTGTGCGGATTACTCTCCACACTTTCAAGTCATCTGCGAACAAAGCACAATGTGATTGTAGTAGCTCAGGCACATCGTTTATACGGATTAGAAACAATATCGGGCCCAGTACAGTGCCTTGGGGCACGCCGCTGCTCGATGGATACCAGTCTGTTAGATGGTTGTCCACCTGGACTCTCCACTTCCGATCAATAAGGAAATTGCTGATCCATTTGTGCAGCGAACCACCAACACCGCACATCCTCAGTCTGTCAAGGAGCACTGCATGGTTAACCTTGTCAAAAGCCTTACTGAAGTCAATGTAAATGACGTCAACCGATTGGCCTTTGTTCAGTGCTTGTAACCATTCGTGCCTCGTCAAAAGTAGGTTGGTGATGCACGAACGACCTTTCAGGAAACCATGCTGTGCGGAGGTTAACAGGTTTTTCGACTCGAGAAGTTGCAGAAGGCTCTTCTTCACGATCTTCTCGAGCGTCTTTGCCAAAACTGCCGTCAGGCAGATCGGCCGGTAGTTATCCACTTTGCTTGGGTTACCACCTTTCGGGATAGGCTTTACGACTGAGCATTTCCAGTCGTCCGGTAGTAGACCAGTGGATAGTGACCTGTTAAACAGTTCAGTTACAGAAGGTGCAATGATGATGATGATGATGATGATGATGATGATGATGATGATGATGATGATGATGATGATGATGATGATGATGATGATGATGATGATGATGATGATGATGATGATGATGATGATGATGATGATGATGATGATGATGATGATGATGATGATGATGATGATGATGATGATGATGATGATGATGATGATGATGATGATGATGATGATGATGATGATGATGATGATGATGATGATGATGATGATGATGATGATGATGATGATGATGATGATGATGATGATGATGATGATGATGATGATGATGATGATGATGATGATGATGATGATGATGATGATGATGATGATGATGATGATGATGATGATGATGATGATGATGATGATGATGATGATGATGATGATGATGATGATGATGATGATGATGATGATGATGATGATGATGATGATGATGATGATGATGATGATGATGATGATGATGATGATGATGATGATGATGATGATGATGATGATGATGATGATGATGATGATGATGATGATGATGATGATGATGATGATGATGATGATGATGATGATGATGATGATGATGATGATGATGATGATGATGATGATGATGATGATGATGATGATGATGATGATGATGATGATGATGATGATGATGATGATGATGATGATGATGATGATGATGATGATGATGATGATGATGATGATGATGATGATGATGATGATGATGATGATGATGATGATGATGATGATGATGATGATGATGATGATGATGATGATGATGATGATGATGATGATGATGATGATGATGATGATGATGATGATGATGATGATGATGATGATGATGATGATGATGATGATGATGATGATGATGATGATGATGATGATGATGATGATGATGATGATGATGATGATGATGATGATGATGAGGATGATGATGAGGATGAGGATGATGATGATGATGATGATGATGATGATGATGATGATGATGATGATGATGATGATGATGATGATGATGATGATGATGATGATGATGATGATGATGATGATGATGATGATGATGATGAGGATGATGAGGATGATGAGGATGATGATGATGATGATGATGATGATGATGATGATGATGATGATGATGATGATGATGATGATGATGATGATGATGATGATGATGATGATGATGATGATGATGATGATGATGATGATGATGATGATGATGATGATGATGATGATGATGATGATGATGATGATGATGATGATGATGATGATGATGATGATGATGATGATGATGATGATGATGATGATGATGATGATGATGATGATGATGATGATGATGATGATGATGATGATGATGATGATGATGATGATGATGATGATGATGATGATGATGAAGATGATGATGATGATGATGATGATTATGAGGATGAGGATGATGATGATGATGACGACGACGACGACGTTGATATTTGTCATATTAACACAACAATGTACATTCAATAATGTGCAAATATAAGTGTTATGTAACATTTAATTTATATTTTCTAGGTGTTGATACGTATTTAAATATTATGGATACCCTTGTTCTACCATTGTACATGGGCAAAGCGATCAAGTAATTTTGCACGAATTATCGTGGCATCAACTTGCTGAGTTGTGTGTGCAAAGTGATTGCTCGAATCCTGCTTAACCGCCTCGTAAGTCAGATTGCGGAACTGAAATTAGCGAAAGAGCAATGCGAATTTCGTTCGGGTGGCAGCACTAGAGATATGGTGTTTGCGACTCGTCATTTGCTGGAGAAGTGCAGAGAACGACATAAGCCGTTGTACTCGCTTTTTGTTGATTTCACCAAGGCATTTGATACGGTGAACCGCGAGGCATTGTGGCGGGTGTTAAGTAAGTTTGGTTGCCCGCGTAAGCTTGTAAGTTCAATAGGATGTCTGCACAGTGGTATGCGGACGAGAGTGCAGCTGAATGGAGAGACCTCGGAGGACTTTGCAGTTGTCTCTGGTGGGAAGCAAGGCTGTGTCTTAGTTCCTACCATTTTTAATATACATCATCATGCCATTATGTCTTGTGCTTTTAATGCTGCTTGCCCTAATGGTGTTCGCGTGGAGCACCGTATTGATGATGGGTTGCTGAACATCCGTCGTTTCGGTGCGAAAATCCTAGTCTGTGTGACAACTATCCGTATGTTACTGTTTGCTGACGATTGTTCGTTGTTTGTACACAGCGTGGATGAGTTGCAGCACATGACTAGTGCTCTGGCTTCGACAGCGGCCAAATTCGGGCTCATCATCAACACAAACAAACTCTGTCTCTTTCAGCCTTCACCGGAGGTGCAATCTTCAATACTGCCGCGAATCAGCATTAGTGCTGAAGTATTGGAAACCACCTGCCACTTCTGCTACCCTGGGAGTGTGATGTCGACTGATCAGCATCGACACTGTGAGCTTCTTATCCGCGTGTCGAAGGCAGCGGCGGTATTCGGGAAGCTAGAGTACCGAGTGTGGAACAACCATCAGCTTACCATTGGCACGAAGCTGATGGTGTGCAAATCCATGGTGCTGTCCGTTCTTCTATACCACAGTGAAACGTGGACGATGTACCAGCGGGATGTGAGATATCTCGAGCGGTTCCAACAGCAATGCTTGCAACGGCTTTTGCACATCGGATGTGGCGACAGAGTTGCTGACACGGAAGTTTAGCGACAAATTGGGATGTATGCAGTGGACTGCATACTTTTGCTGAGACACCTGTGGTGGCTCGGTCATGTGAGCCGTATGGATTCGACGCGGATACCGAAATAACTATTATATGGTCAGCTGAGTATTGGGAAGCGACATGGGTGGAAACCGAAGCTTCGTTACCAAGACATGATCAAAGTGAGCCTTTCACGTTCTAATCTTGATTGCAGGTCATGAGAATCGAAGGAAACTATCACGAGGCTCCAGACGATGTTTTCTTCAACTGATTTCTCGGTCTTCAACGACCTATACCTTTCGCTCGAACCTGACCATCTTACGGACTACATCAAATATTGCTTTGACGTGTTTTGCCCTGTTGAAACGATATACCTAAGAGCAGATAGGTTTTCTCACCACTACTAAAGCGAGTTGGAAGGATGAAAGAAAGTGCCTACAAGTGCAAGAGTGTTGCTCGTGTCAAAAGCCTAATTACGGCAGTTAAATCCGAGATAAAAAGACTAAACCAATTATACATCGAAGCAGTTCGAGGCAACCATAACTGTCACGATCTATGGGGCTTCTTAGGCAGCTCTGTGGTATAGCGTTTGCAGCCTGAGAGGTGAAGAGGATGTGGATAACCTGAATTCAGAGTTTAGTTCCTCATCACTAAGCTCATCTTTCTTGCCCTTCTTCATTAGCTCAAGTCCATCCGTGCCATTCGATTAAAGGAACGTCCACAAGGAACTCAAAAGATTAAAGACAACAAAAGCTTGTGGTTCTGATGCTTTCTCACCATTATCATTGAAGGAGTGTGCTGATTCTCGTACACTGCCTCTAACAGACCTCTTTAACAAGTGCCTCTCTGCAGATGTGATCCCGGACATTTGGAGAGCGGCCACTGTTTCTCCAGTATTAAAAGCTGGATCTCAAAAGTATCGCGCAATTGCATGTACATCTGTCTCCTAAAAATTTTCGGAAGTCTTTTAATTCGCGGATTTGCTTAGTCGTTCCTGTGGACGATATCTACCAGTTCGAGTATAGACCCCATCGCTCCCCCACTGGATGCAGTGGCATATGTTGTTCATTTTAGAGCCACTGCATTAGATCAAACAAGTGAATCCGTACGGCTTCTCTTCCTGGATTATTCCAATGCCTTTGGAAGCCTGGGTAGGTCAAGGTTGCTAAACCTGCTATCCGAAAATGGAGTTCACCCTGATGTGTGCAATCTGTTACTTGAGTATTTTACAGATCGTACTCACTTCACCAATTTGAAGGATAAGAAATCCTCTGTCATCCGTGCTGACTGTGATGTTCTACAGGGAGCGATCATATCACCTTTCTCTTTTCCTGTTATGTTGATAAAACTCCCTATACAAACCACTTTTGCATGGTGTAAGTATGTTGATGATGACGTGCTGGGATGTATGTCCCCCATTAACCATGATGCCTCATCACTTCAAGGTGGGTTGGAGGGTGTGGTGGAATGGTCTTCATCCAGATCTCTTATGCTTAATGCTTATAAATGCAGGGATGTAATCTTTTCCTTGCTACATGATGATAAGTTGCAGTCCCTCATAGCTTTCTCCCTCCCAGTGATTGTGAATAAAAATTCCATACGCAGCTCTTCCACCGTCAAGTATCTCGGCGTTTTTGTCCCAGAATCTTCCTTTGTCCGCACACGTCTGTACAACTTTTCAAAAAGTCAGAAAGCTTTCTTTTTATGCCCTCAGACTTAAGGTGCTTTCAGTACCTAGTGCTTTAATATTCAGGGTTTTGGCCTCTTGTATTATTCCCCATTGGCTATACTGATCTCCTGTCATTTTCCCTGGACTGCTTCAAAAAGACTACATCTTATTGCTGCGGTCTACAAATCACATTTCTAGATGCAGCGGCTTGTCTACAGATTCTTTAGTGGATTTGTTTGCTTCTAGACATGTTGGTGGTTGCAATGATTTTTCTACTAAGGTACTAACTGATCGATGTTAACCACTTCATAATGATATATCCAACACGCGCTCTTTCTCTTCTACCCGTTCGAAATTCAGAATTTTATGCTCCCACACGTTAGCTTACCATAATACTGTTTTGCCTTACCTCTCAAGATTGCTTGTTGACCCAGCGAAAGTCACAAACAGGCTGCGAGAGCGCTTGTTGGAGTAACAATTCTGCCTTTTTCCACATTTCTACCCATGCATTTATATTGATACTAGCATCCAAGTGTCCGCAGTGATGATGTGGTTGCTGAAAATGAACCCATTAGGGGAAATAAAGCTTAATTTGACTTGACTTGACTTAGCACCACGAGGAGGTTGTTCGGCTAGTCAGCCCACAATTGCCTAGCCGCTCTGGTTGAACCATTGTCACCTATATTCTTTTGGGTTTAACATATGCTTTCCAAGGCAGTTCACTGAAGCTGGACACATCCGACCCACAGACATTACTTTCCATATTTTCCGCTTCGATTGCCTTTGTATACTTACTGCTCGGAGACAAAGCAGCAGATTTTAAGCTACCACAGAAAAATCGCTGTACGTTCTTTTTGTATTAGCCCTGACATTAGGTATTTTTTAATATCTTTCACAAGATATGCCGTATTTGGACTTTACTTTTTCATGGTTTGCTACATCCGTGCTATTCCTTTGATTTAACTGAAAATAACCTGGTAATTGCTATTTGACGGGGCAGGAGCTTTGAATCGACCGTTGCTTTCTCATTGAACATCACTTTTACTTTACCCACTGCGGATATAATAAGTTTTATAGGAATAATTTGGCAGCTTTATTTGTCCAACTACTTCCAAGGTCAACAAGACCGATATTTTGATTACTAGTCGCGGTCGGTTGGTTTTGACCACGAACTTTTCGGCCAGTTGCAAGCGATTAAGGGGAAATGTCCCCACGAAACTATACTCTGTCGGCCGGAAAGCCCACGAGGATTCTGTTTATCAATATGTACTCAGTGCTCAAGAAAGCGGATCCTTTTCTTAGGGTGACACTAATGCACCCTTGTAACTGGTCTATATCCATGTATAAAATTTTGCATTTGTCAAGATGTCATGTTAATGCGTAGTTTGTATTGTAAATTGCTGAAAATGCCCCCAAACTGGGTACACAAAGCTTATCTTGACTTCAGGCAGCTTTAGACAAAATACCGACGTAAATTGCGGATAGTGGACTGTGCTGTCTTTGTGCCACTGTTGGAGGGACAAATCAGTCGAACCGGATTTGATTGAATATCAATGCAAGCTGTTCAAGTCAATTGAGCTGATCGATGGCATTTGATTGGAACTCAAGCTGAGATCCGATGCAAACCTACTTTCGTTTTCTAGTTAGGTTCAACACAAGAATTGAACAAGTTTGCATCTCATTGGTTTGTGGTACACCCCTTTATTCATTTGCTTTATATAATACACAATCGCCTCTCGAGACTGAGATACACTGGTTACGGCTAGTCTCATGTTCTCACTATCGGAGTAGGTAGAATCAGTCACGAGGATTACCATACAACAGCACAGCACGCAACCGAACAAACCAGTCAAAAGGTGTGGAATCCAATGTCCCAATATGTGTCCCTGTGTGTGCTGCTGTCTTGGAGATGACAAGTGCCTCATAACATGCCATTTTATGGAGGCCGCAGTTGACGCTCACACACGATCTTTGTGGAATTCTATCATAAAAAATACATCGCTCCGCTTCTGGCCCATCGGTTGTCTCACACTCAACGGCTAACACTGGACTAATATGCTGGACATTATTCACCTACTACACAACATGTCTTTCTACCTGTTTGTGTGCCAAAGTGTATAGACGGCCTACGATGGATACACATCGGTTAAACCCATTTACTACCAGTTGGGATGTAATATGATTTGAATGAATGAAGACAACAATTCATTTTGTTCTTAGACAGCAACCAATACTACGAGTCCACTAGGTTTTCGAAGAACAACCAAACGCACGATGCAATGACTGACGACCACCAGCATCAATATCCCGGAAATGAGTGTGATATGGGGCTTATTGCTCCGAGCTCAGATAAAAGAAGTCAGGGTAACAAAACGTGTGCAGAACAAAAAGGATTCCGTTTGAATGAACCAATACTCAGTAAACAACCCTGTCCAACACCGGAATTAGTCAGATCGGCGATGAAAAAATGCGGTAACTATATTGTTGTAAAAATAATGAATGCATAAATTGTTTCATAACCAGCAGGACTCTTAAGCTGTGTTGTAAATTTATGGGATCGCAAAATCTTCTTTGTGGCACAATAGTTATTAGCCGTGTGCCTAGTTGTGGTATTCATTCATGCATCAACATTGGCCCAGTAAAATTTGTGTTTTAATGTTTATTTGGGTAAATCAAATGTCAGGAAGGAAACGTGGAAGCATAATACTCAGAAAAATCATGTGTATGCTTTGCAAGAACCGCTATCCTCTACTCAAACTGTTACGCATATGTAACTTAAAACACTGAGTCCGCTTCAGCCACTTCATTAACACAGTAAGAAGACATCGGTTTCGAGATGTCAACATTTCGATTGCTCTCGTCAGTCGCTACGCAATACAGGCAGAACAAACACGCAATAAATAGGGTCCACACTAAGTAACATAGATAAGCAGATAAAATTGATATGAATGACGTAATCAGGTCTAAGGCAATCTAATTGATTGCCTCAATTGTTTCTGGGACCAGAGCACGGGACACTTCAACCTTATCAGTAGCGCCTCGCCAATTGCCAACAGGGTCGGGTTTCTGTTGGGCAATAGCACCTTAAATGAATCGATTGGGTTCACCTGGTGAAAGAGTCATCATGAGGTGTTTGGTGATAGAAGAGGCAGGGTTCCGGTTCATTCTTTGATTCGTTCCGCCTTGGTTAGACAGCACTGCCTTAGCCACAATCGGAAGTGTTCCGTCACCATTTGCGCCAGCCGGCGAACAGTGTTGCCTATGTAAGTGTCACCGCAACTACAAGTGAACTGCTAGATGATGTTAGAGGCCGAACTGATTGGCTAGCTACTCGGACGGCTGTGGAGAGGAATCCTTCGTTTAGTGTGGATAAGTCGTAGTTGGGCGGTAGAGTAGGTGCGCATTAGAGCGGACCTGAGCTTATGACCAACTTCATTTGCCAAGTGATCCCCCTTGAACGGTAAAAACAAATAAACACCCTTCTTCTCCGCAGTTTGTACGGGCATCTTCTCCTTGGGGGGTCTGTTATGGGTCTGAATGAATTTCTCCGGATACCCATTGGCTAGCAAAGTCCGGAATAAAAACTCTTCTTCAGCCTTGAGCAATTCCGGGCCGCAAATCCGCCTGGCCCTGTAGAAGAGAGCTTTTACTAGGCCTCGCTTGTATGCAACTGGGGCGAAGCTGGAAAAATGTAGGTATTGTCCCCCCCAGGTCGCTTTTCGGTACACCGTGTGCTGCAGTGTGCCATCGGTCCTTCTCTTGATGAACACGTCCAGAAACGACAGTCTGTCCTTCTGTTCCCTCTCCTGTGATACAGAAAGGTTAGGGTGAATTGAGTTCAGGAGGGCATAAAGACGGTCAAAATGTTCACCATTCGTGAAGACGAGAATATCAACTACATAGCGCTTGTAAAGCTTGGCTTCATTTATGGAGGCAGCAACTTTCCTTTCAATCATACCTAGGAAGATGTCTGCCAGAACTGGTCCCAAAGGACTACCCATAGCGACGCCGTCAATCTGTTTGCATGCCGTCCCTCCAAACTGCAATCACATGTTCTCAGTGCACAACAATATCAAGTCTCGCAGGAACTCCAGTGGAAGACCCACAGAGAGGTTCCGACTCAAAAGAAATTGGCATAGGTCGTCGACCGTTTCACGTAGGAGCACATTCGTGAACAGTGATTCCACGTCTATGGAATACATGAGCTCCGCATCGAGTGTTGTGTGTGTGTGTTGTTACGCATATACTCTTTGGGCCTACCTATCTGCCTACTGCTTTCATTATCGTTAAACTGTTCGTCCATTTGCTGAATTGATGGTTGGTTATCAGTCGGAACTCGAGTTCGCTGGTACCTGTAGGAGAGAGAGAAGACCGGATGGGAGTAGCAGTGTAACTGGTTGTATTGGCCAAGCATACCGTACATTATAAAGGTAAAATTAAAAGTTGGTGAATGGTATTTAAAGTTCATATGGAAAACCCCAGTGCGGTCAACCTACGGCCAATCAACTAATGCCATCCTCATGTTACTTGGTCACTTCGCCTGGTTGTGTTCGGGCTTCGGCCACGACAGCAGTGTCATCCGTAAAGGTAAAATGTGATCACACAAGCATTTAGAACAGGTACGATAAATATTGCAGATAGTAACAATGGTGATAGAACTCATACGACTCGGTGCCTCTTTGAATAAATGTAACCGTAATCAAATCGGTTCCTGGCAGATTAGTATCGGTACAGAATGGTGGCTAGGTAGTCCCATAGATTCGTAGATCCTTGAATCTGCGATCGCAGGAGATCCTTTTTGTCAGCTGCAGATGTTCCCTGGAAACATTTTGAACAGTTGGAATTACAGGCTTTTCTGCCGATGTGCCAAGTCTTGCCTGGGTTGATAGAGAAATGGTCTTGACAGTATACACCATTTCTGTTCGCAGCGATAACGGAACATTGTTGGATTTCACTACAGAATATTTGCCTTTCCCTGAAAAGTCTGTGAGAATTACTGCAGAAGTCGCTGTACCGTGAAACCCGTTGCTTTGGAATTTGGAGCTTTCTTGCAACCTTAGAGTATGCACGTATCTGAATTTCTTTGCCTTTTGAGCTCTGCTTGCTACTCATATTCAAACTGTAATTCCCTCCTGCTTTAACAGCGTTCTGTTTCTTCCGAGACCAAACAGAAGGATGTTGCAAGTTTGTGCTTACGGAAGTAACTTGGGAGTCTGTAACCGAATTAAAGAACTCACTTTGTGATTTCTTAATCGAATGTCGGGTCTACATATGGCGGTATGCATTCGACCACCGCGGATACCGCGCCCCTGTCCGCCCAATCTGCTGAGTCGACCGAGGTCGTGTGCTTCCGATCATGAACTGTGTACCTGGATTGAATTGTGACGTTGTGACGTGACTCGTAGCCACATCAAATGGTTCATTTGATGCGGACACGATTTACAGCTCTCGCTATGAATCTATGCCGGGCCTTGTGATCGGGTAACTTGAGTGCTTTGCACCTCGCCGCTGCAATATTCGTAGGACCACCAGTGGAGTAATGACGGGGTGGGGGTACGAAAAGCCAAAGCTCGACGAATCCTGTGGGATGGTCTGTGTGCCACAGCTCAGTTCGGAACATCCGATACCTAGACAAAGCGCTCATCTGTTGACTCACCATGGTTGGCTGTATCCCGGCTCCGGATGTGCCTGTCACTGTGGTCCCCATATAACAGCCACAGGACGCCTGCGCCTACAGAGGGACCATGGGTGGCTTGCGCTACACCACCCACAGCTCCATCCACACACCTATATCCCGTGTAAACCAGAGGGATAAAACCGGGAAGAATGTGGATGGGAGCCACATTTCATCAACGGAACCGGTCCACACTCCTTCAACATGAACAGCAGCAGCATTCCGGTCTAACTATGTCGGAAATCATGCGTATCAGACGTACACAAGGCCGTGGTTGAGCAGTAGTCCGCTCCACACTGGATGAAACCTCACTTTGAGCATGGCACCGCCACGAGGACTGTGCACCCAGTCCCCCCAGCAACGATTCACAGTCTCCTGAAGCCAGTAATCGAGGTGGAGAGTGTTGGACAGGTAGGTACCTTGTCAACATTCACATTAAGCGCAGCCACACCGGGGATAACAAACAACTAACCTAGAATTTAAGGGAAAGCAAACATGCAACATTGACACAGAATATGCAGCACACTAACAGAACTGAAAAATCCAAATAAAGAGAAATGACTTTTATCCAGCTTAAAAGGAATTAGCTTCAGTGTAAGTTACTTTGCCCCCACTGCGGTGAAGAAGCAACATGAATGTAACATCAATTTCAGCATCAGGTGGACTCAATCTAAACCGACGAAGGCTTTAGAAAGTTCCAGATAGATGATCTCGGTTCCGGTCCCAATATCCGCTTTTCCTGTTTGACTGCCCCGAGCAATCAGTGGTTGGGTAGTGCATGACCGATATTGACGGTGGCCGCGTTGCTCCGGTGATGAGACGTTCGACATTTCTAGTTAGTCTATTAGTGCCCAGTTAGGACCGACTCCATCACTTACGAGGGCACCGGGGGAAGAATCACTGGGCGATAGTTATTGGGTTCCGCACTGCTATCCCCTTTGAAAATCAGGGTAATTATACCCTGCCCCCACATGCTGGGTACCTGCTGTTCATCTAGGCATCTTTGGATTAATCGGGTTAATGGCTCAGTTTTCCTCGTAGCTCCAACCTGCAGTGCCTTCGAGGCAGTGTTCTCACCACGGTGGGATCTATGGATGCTCAACGATAACAGCTTCCTCAAAACGGTAACTGAACTAATAGTGACGTGTGTAAATACCGGCTTGTAGGGTAATGGTACACGAATCCCGTTTACTCGCTTGGCTAGTTCCTTTCTTCCATATATCGAGGCATAGAGTGCGCACCTGATATTTCATCCAGAGGTAGTATAGGCATTGAAAACAAGACGAACAGTTAGCCAAAGGAAGCGAAGAACAAGATCTAGGCGGTGCAAGCAGGTCGAGATCAACGGCCATTCTATATCGATACATGTTAAGGATTGCAGCGCAGTGCACTAGGCTCATCAGTTCCGGTCACACTCACTCGCGAAGATTGCTCGACAGGGAGTGCATTAAGCAATCGACTAAGGCTCATTCCTACATTTACACAATGGCTCGGTAGACCTTTCAGTCCCTTTCATTATTTACACTTACACTTACACTTATTTACACTTATCTTCGGTAATTTTGTTGCGTTTGTAGCATTTTTAAGTAACTTGTGGACATTTCTTACTTTTCGAGGATTCGTGTCTAGGTGTCTAGGTCATGCCTGGTATTTTGGTGGATTGTCGAGCTGCTCACCTACGAGTGTGGACAAAACTCACACTGCCCGTGTGACCAAACGCCAGTCTGATTATTGTCCTCAAGTGCTCAATTTGTTTATATATTGCAACACAGGCAAATTTGGGGCCTTGACTGTCAAA